TTCAAAATGAAATACTTTTGCCTACAGTGCAGTTAAAGCTGTGGAATCTGCTACTACAAAATGTATTAATGGGTGCCCTGCGGGATGGACAGCACCATCGCGGGACTGGGAGCCGGGACGCTGCTGGCCTGCGGGCCCACCATCCGGCCGCCGAGTGCTCTGCGGGCCCTGCTCCTGCCCCACTCCTCCGGCGTGGGTGAGAGCCGCGCCAGTCCAGGGCGGAGCGCAGGGGAGGGGCCGCATGGCCTTTAACTCACAGGCAGCGACCGGGGCCGGCGGCCTAAGGGCGGTGACGCCATTTGTGGCCGTTCGGGGCTGAGCGGGGGCTGGGCTGGGCTGGGCTGGGCTGGGCTGGCCAGGTCTTTGCTGTTGGCCAGCAGGTGGGATTGGTTACAGTGGGCGGTGGGGATTGTGGGTGTATTTTTAAGTGTTTTAATGTGTTTTTAGTTGTTTAATAGATTCATCTCTAGCTTTGAGTATGGGGTTGCCTGGGGAGCGCGTGGGCGCCGCCATTGGGGTGGTCATGGGCAATGGACATTACGACATTGGGGATCTAACGTGTTCTCGTAGAAGAAGGAGGGACAGATGGCTAGCACCTGTTCCCCCTTCTGGTTATTCCCCCAGCCTGAGGGTTCCAGGTAGTCCTCTCAACCGCCCCCCCAGGCCTGTCGGTGCTGCTGCTTAATGCCAGGTTGGTCCACAATAAATCTTCCCTCATCCATGATTTGATTGTGGGTCAGGGGGCCGACCTGGCTAGCATTACAGAGACCTGGGCGGGGGAGGGGGGATGTCTCCCTTTCTCAAATGTGCCCACCCGGGTATCTGGTTCAGCACTGACCATGCCTGGAGGGGAGGGGGGGTCGCTTTGGTTTATTGAGCCTCTATTTCCCTCATGGGGCTTCCTGTTCTCTCGAGACCAGGTCTAGAGTGCCTCTACTTGGTGTTGGGCGACCGAGACAGATTGGGGATTCTATTGGTGTACCGTGCACCCTTCTGCCCAACAGACTCCCTGCCTGAGCTGACAGAGATGGTCTCGGACTTGGTGTTGAAGACTCCCAGGATGTTGGTCCTAGGGGACTTCAATCTCCACACCGAGACAGTTCTGACCAGGGCGGCTCAGGACTTCATGGCCTCCATGATGGCCATGGGGCTGTCTCAGTATGTCACTGGCCCGACCCATGAACGTGGATACACCCTGGACCTGGTTTTCTCGACGGGACAGGAAGAGGGGGATCTGAGGGTGAGGAACTTGTGTCTGACACCTCTGTCATGGTCAGATCACTTCCTCGTGAGGTTTGAGCTCCAGAGTGGCCTTTCCTTCTGTAAAGGTGCGGATCCGATTGTGTTGGTCCACCCCTGGAGCCAGATGGATCTGGATGGATTCCTGAAGGCCCTGGGGGAATTCCCGGTTGATAAGGCTGGTGCTCCTGTCAATGCCTTGGTCGAACTGTGGATTGGGGAAATGACTAGGGCTATTGACACGATCGCTCCTAAGCATCCTCTCCCACCTGGCAGAGCCCGTTCATCCCCCTGGTATACATCTGAGCTACGGGCAATGAAGCGGGTTGGGAGATGTCTAGAGCGTAGGTGGAGGAAATCACAGGATGAATCTGACTGAACACACTTAAAAGTCCATTATCGGGCCTATGCTGTGGCGGTGAGGGCGGCAAAGAAGAAATTCTTCTCTGCTTCCATTGCCTCCTCACAATGCTGTCCAGTGGAGCTCTTTCGGGTGGTACAGGGGCTGGTTCATCCAGGCCCAAAAAAAGATCTTGTGCCACCCTCAATGGCCTGCTGTGACGATTTTGCCAAGCATTTCAAGGAGAAAATCGCTCAGATTCGTCATGAGCTGGACTCCAGTGGTGATTCAGAACCTTCAGGGGACGTGCCAATGTTGCCGTCTGGTCCACAATTGATGGATGAATTTCAATTGCTGTGGCCTGATGATGTGGACAAGGTGCTTGGACAAGTATGTCCAACCACCTGCTTACTGGACCCTTGCCCATCTTGGCTACTCAAGAAAGCCAAGGACGGGATAGGGACCTGGCTCCTGGAGGTTGTCAACGCCTCTCTAAGGGACGGCCGGGTACCTGCCCCTTTAAAGGAGGCGGTAGTCTGGCCAGTCCTAAAGAAGGCATTCCTGGATCCAGAGATGGCCGCCAATTATAGACTGGTGGCCAACATCCCGTTCTTGGGCAAGGTGTTAGAGTGGGTGGTGGCAGGACAACTCCAAGCACTCTTGGATGAAACTGATTATCTGGACCCATTTCAGTCTGGCTTCAGACCTGGGTATGGTACTGAATCTGCCTTGGTCGCCCTGTACGATAACCTGTGCAGGGAGAGAGACAGGGGGAGTGCGTCCCTGTTGGTTCTCCTGGACCTCTTAGCGGCTTTCGATACCATCAACCATGGTATCCTTCTGGATAGGCTAGCAGGATTGGGAGTTGGAGGCACTGCTCTGCGGTGGTTCCTCTCCTATCTCAATGGCCGATTCCAGAAGGAGGTGCTGGGGGACCATGGCTCTGTGCCATGGCAGTTCTGCCATGGAGTTCTGCAGGGGTCTGTTCTGTTCCCCTTGCTCTTCAACATCTACATGAAACTGCTGGGAGAGGTCATCAGGAGGTGTGGGCTGCGGAATCATCAGTACGCTGATGATACCCAGCTCTGCCTCTCATTCTCAACCAATCCAGGTGAGGTGGTGGCTGTGCTGAACAGGTGCCTGGCCGAGGTAATGGGCTGGATTAGGGCCAATAAACTGAAGCTCAATCCAGACAAGATGGAGGTCCTGTTGGTAGGTGGTTCGGGCTTCGGGGTGGGGGACCTGGAACTTGTCCTGAATGGGGTTGCACGCCCTCTTAGGGACAAGGTTTGCAGCTTGGGAGTGCTCCTCGACCCTGAGCTGTCATTAGAAGCTCAGGTGACGGCGGTGGCGAGGAGCGCTTTCCTTCAGCTTCGGCTGATCCATCAGCTGCGTCCCTGCCTGGAGAACGATTGCCTGGCGACAGTGACACACGTGTTGGTAACTTCCCGATTAGACTTCTGTAACGCGCTCTATGTGGGGCTACCCTTGAAGACGGTCCGGATACTTCAATTGGTGCAAAACAGAGCTGCCAGGTTGCTGACGGGGACTGGGCATTGTTCTCATATAACCCCAGTTCTCCGTCAGCTTCACTGGCTCCCCATTGAAGTCTGGGCCCAATTCAAGGTGTTGGTTATCACCTATAAAGCCCTTAACGGCTTGGGACCTGGTTATCTAAAGGAACGTTTGTGTCTATATATGCCCTCCTGCCCCTTGAAATCGGCAGCAGAGGCCCTTCTTTGACAACCCTCCGTGAAAGATATTAGGAGAGTGAGTACCCGGAGGAGGGCCTTCTCTGCGTTGGCGCCCCACCTATGGAATGCACTCCCCAGAGAGGTCTGCCTGGCGCCGTTGTTATTTGTTTTTCAGCACCAGGCCAAGACCTTTTTATTTAAAAGTTATTTTAATTGTATTTATGGGATATTTAGATATATGCCGAGATGCTTCCGTTTTTTTAACTCTAATTGTACAAATTGTTTATTTATGTTTGTTTAGTATTGTTGTAAGCCGCCCCGAGGCTTTTTGTGAATGGGGTGGCATAAAAATGGTTTAAATAAAGAAATAAATAAATAAACAAACTTGGGCAGCAATAAAGAGGCATTAGGCCAATTCGTGAAGGGTTATGCTATCACTGGATGCTAGATATGGCAGCTCTGTCTCACCTTCAGGATCAGAGGCATTGTGCCTCTCATTACCAGTTGCTGGGATATCGTCTAGCAGGCTTTTCAAAAAAATCTGGTTTGGGACTGTGGGAACAGAATGCTGGACAAGGGGAAACTTGTATGATCCAGCATGGCTTTTTGTAACTGCTCTGTTCTTAAAGCAAGTGTTAAGGAGAACACCAGAATTTTTTATACCTGGTACAAAATGTTTTATTTTCATCATGATGATAATGGAGAGAGAGGGGAAGAAACCAGTATTCAGGTATAGCCACAATGATGCACTGGCCAGATCAAAGAACCCTTTCAAATCCCTGCCACTGGTGCACCATGACCATGCCCACCTCATAAAATTTCTTCCAAAAAAAAAAAATAAAACCTCAGAGAGAGAGAAATTTCTTGGGATGTTCCAAATGCTCATTGTCTGTGTTCTTTGCTGCTGCTTCTCAGAGGGACTGAGAAGTGGCCTATGCTCTGGCCAAGCAGTCCAAAGAAAGATGCTTCCAAAACTGCCTTGATGATTTTATGACATACGTTTACATATGACTTTCCAGTAAAGTATCCAAGGAGCTAACACACGACTATAAATATAAAAATAGAACAGTAAAGTCCAATAAAAGCATCTCTGCCCAAGAACAACACTGCATTGGCAGGGTCACATCTCAGGATAAGCCTGCATGAAGGTGTGGAAATTAAGGAGACATCTAAAGATAAAAATGGAAGATGCCACTTAAGGTAATGGGGGACTGCAACTGTGAATTCCCTGTTACAGGAGCTCTGAGACAGCTTTTAGAAACACATGGCAGCATCAGAAGTGTTCCTTCTAAGGAGCACCTAGGCCAGGCAGGGACAGAAGATGTGAGCTGACCACTCCAGTATCTGAGTCCAAAATTCTTTAGGGCTTGGCTTGGCTTTGCTCTCTTGCCTCCTCCTCCTCCGTAATTTTCTTTGGCATCAGTTGACATCTCGGATGCTGCCTGAGTTTCAACTATCCAGGTGGTTATCAGTGCATCGTGTTATTGCTGACTGCTGAGGACAGCAAAGTTGTACCAATTCTGGCCTCTCAAAGATGTTAATTTTGCATTGCAGCGTTTAATCTTGTTTGGATTCTTGTTTTGAATGTTTTCACCCTGATGCAAACTCAGCTTGAAACCAGATTTCCCTGGGGCAATTGGTTCATTACTTATAATCTTTGTTGCTGTAACTTGATGATCTTAGACATAACTTAATTTTCCTCTCGTTGTGTTTCTCCATTTCTCCAGGGGGTATATTTGAATGTGTGGAATCTGGTCCAACGGGAGCAATGGGAGCAGAGGAACTGGCCTTCAGATTTGCTGTGAATACAATCAACAGAAACAGAACTCTGTTGCCAAACACCACATTAACATATGACACCCAGAAGATCAATCTCTATGATAGTTTTGAAGCATCCAAAAAAGGTACGTTCCTAAAAGCATGGCAGCTTGCAGGCCTTGGCTCAGTTCCTTCAGCTGAATTTCAAAGTTTCTCTGTATGCAATCATTTCAGCAAGAATGATCTGTCTCTTCTCTGGCAGCCTGCTGGGTGGGAAGGAAGGAGGAGACACAGGAAAGGGGGTGGCAGGAAGAGAAAGCAGGTGACCCACAAAGCTGTTTTGGTTCTGGCCCCAATCTCTGCTCCTGTCTGCTGTTGACACAGGTTCCATCTACTGGTGTGATACAGCCCCTGATGCATTAATAGCAGCCCCCAATTTAAAAAATGCAGCCCTCAATGGAAAAAAATAGCTGCTAGATTTTTGGCCTTCCATATATCAAGACAGTAAAGTTTACCCTCAATATGCTTCCTCAGTTTCAGCTCTCTACTTTCTCTTTTAGAAATCAATGGGTCTTCCTGGTTGCTAAAGCAGAGGCAGCATTCATAGAGAGAATGCAAGTACCAAAGGCTTCTAAGAGCCTCATGAAAGATGTCACATGACAGCCTATGTATTTGTATACTACTTTATTTTTATTTTATTTAGTAAAATGGATCGGGCAGAACCTTAAAAATAAATAAAGCACTAGTATTTTTTTCAGAGGCAATTGGAGCTGAGAGAACTGGATTTCCCCAAGGCTCTCAGAAACCTTTATGACTTATCAGGGATTTATTTGTGGAATCTTCCCATCTCTAAATTTTAGACCTGTTCAGGTACCCTTGGCAGCAACCTGTGGCAAGGCCTTTTCTGTTGTATCAGTCTGTTTGATTGTTACTTCTCAGGAACTTTGATGATGTTTGTCTTTACTGCTGTTCTTTTACCTTTGCTGCTGTTTCAGTTGCTACCTATTGACAGCTAATGGTTTTTTATGTTGTTGCATTGCTTATTTTATGATTTAACCATGTGGATAATTCTTTGCATATTGATTGGCTGCTGGATTTTGTAAGCTGTTTTGGGCAGCTACACAAAGAAGGGAAAGTAGGATTTAAAATATGATTTTTTAAAAAAGGCGTTAAGGTCTCTTTGAATATTTTGTCCATTTTCATAGCTTTGCTTCCATGTTTTCTGGAATTAATTTCCACATGACACAAGAAGTCAGGAATAAACCGTTCTGATAAAATGGTGCTTTTACTGTGACAGGAACTTAAGGTTGCTAGGGATATTCAAATCTGTCCACTTCACTTTTTCTTGTATTTGGGCTTCTAAATCTCCTGTTTTTGCTCTTCTGAATGTGTGAATTTCCATAAATAAAATGAATTGAATAGGAAAGCTATTCCTAGAACTGAGAGGGGTATGTGGCACCTGCCTGGCACATCACCCTTAAAGATGTGGAATCAGATAGAAAAAGGTGTTAGCAACCCCAGCTCAGCACCATGAGCAGATCAGTGGAATGCAGAATACACAGACTTTCTGCTAAGCTCCAGAATCCTGGACCTGGATGACTGAATCTGCCTTTATCCATTTCTATTCACTTCTTCTTTCTCCTCCTCCTCCTCTCCATCTCAAGTTCTTATTGTCTTGAATATGGAGAACTTTGCAAATTTTGGTCAATTCTGCTAAAATCAAAACATTTTTTTCCCTTAGAGTTGGCTTATGATTATCCCATTCATGTCAAAGCAAATAAAATACATGAAAAGTATCATTCTTTGAGACCTCAAGGATCTCACCAGGTTTATGCTGTTGTCATAAATTGAGCCAGCTGTACATCTGGCTGCTGTATTCAAGTGGATGTCTGGAACAGAGTACATTTATAGAAATTAGTTGAAATTTAAAACCACTGAACTGAAAAAGAAAGCCTAGTCAAGGCCAGAATTTTCCCAAGATATTATCTGGACTAAAAATACTGAATAGGCAACCCAAATTTTCCCTACTGCATTTGTTTAAAGAGCATGCTGTGTGCTTAGAATGGAACTGCTGTGAACCACCCCCAGAAGAATGGCTTCTTTCAAAATCTTAGATACAAAAACAAACAAATCTACTGGAAGAATTGCATTTCACAGCTATTCTGCCCAATGTCATCTCATAACATTGCACAACTACAGGTATAAAAGGTAAATACCTTTCTGAACAATATTGAGGCTATTTGATTTTTAAGAAAAGTTTGTGCTAACCAATCATATCTGAACAAGGCTGGTGGCTGGGCCAAGATGTGCCAAGTATCATGGGAAAAGAAAATCTTTATCCCGCTGAACAGTTCCTGGAAATGGCTGGAAGGAGACATTGGAGAGTCTCTGGTAACAGAGCATTTGTGTTATATGCCATCAAGTCATCTCTAACATATGGTGACCTTATGAATCAAAGCCATCCAAGATGTCCTACCCATGACAGCTCTATTCAGTTCTTCCAATTCCAAGACTCTGGATTCTTTTATGGATCCAGTCCATCTCCTAACTGGGCTTCCCTTTTATCCTATGTCTTCTACTTTCCCCTGCATGATTGTCTTCTCCAAGGAGTGTTGTCTTCTCATGATGTGTGTGAAGTATGGTAGCCTCAGTTTTGTCATTTTTGCTTTTAAGGAAAGCACTGGCTTGAACAGAGCATTAACTGCACACATTTCTCTTGCATGTACTTCCCAGTCCAAAACATTGCAAAATAGTCATGGCAGATTTTTTAAACCCTTAGAGGGTGATGGATAGGATGGGTCAAAAGTTCTGCAAAAGCAGAACTTACCTGCCCTCTCCAACACACACACAATGGGGCTTCATTCATTCACTTTTTAGGTACTCTTGCACTCATTGGCCTCCATTTTGAGGACTTGTGGAGAATGGGTGAGGTTCCAGAGGACTGGAGGGTGGCGTCAGTGGTTCCAATTTTCAAAAAGGGTAGGAGAGAGGACATGGGCAACTACAGAGTGGTTAGCCTCACACCCATTCAAGGAAAAACAGTGGAAAGGCTGTAGTAACCCTAGATAGGGAAGGGAGGTTGGTGACCATGCAACATGGCTTCTGCAAAAACTGGTCCTGCCAGATGAACCTTGTGCAATTCTATGACAAGGTTTTGAGGTGGCTAGACAGAGGGGACGTGGATTTGTTTACCTGGATTTCAGCAAGGCCTTTGAAAAAGTGCCGCATGATCTCCTGGCTGAGAAATTGAGGAGTTTGAGGAAAGACCGATGCAGTGTTCAATGGATTAGGGCATGGTTGACAGACCGAAAGCAGAGGGTAACTACTAGTGCAGAATCATTGGGAAGGTGGCCAGTGATGGTCGTGGTCCCCCAGGGCTCTGTCCTGAGACCAATCCTGTTCAATATTTTCATCAATGACCTGGAGGAGGGGGTGACCAGTCGGCTGGTCAAATTTGCGGACGATACTAAAATGGGGGTGGTGGCCACAATTGAAGAGCAGGTACTCTGGATCCAGAAGAATCTGGACAGACAATGAAAGTGGGCTGGGGAGAACAGGATGGCATTCAATGCAGATAAGTGCAAGATCTTGCACTTGGGGCATAGGAATGGGATCTCAGGGTGCTGGTGGACTGCAGGCTAAATGAGTCAGCAGTGTGATGCAGTGGTCAAGAGGGTGAACACCGTCCTTGATTGCACAGCCAGAAGTGTGACTTCTAGATCTAGAGTGAGGTATTACTACCACTCTATATGACTCTGGTGTGCCCGCAACTGGAGTATTGTGCTCAGTTCTGGGCTCCACATTACAAGAAGGATATAGCCAGGATGGAATTGGTGCAGTGTAGGGCCACAAGGTTGGTGACTGGATTGCAGAGAAATCTGTATGAGGTGAGACTGGGTTTTTTCATCCAGAGAAGAGGAGACTTCAAGGGGATCCGTTGGTGACATAAAAGTATGTGAGGGGGTGTTGCACAGAGGTGGGTAGAGACCTGTTTTTCCCTGCAGATGAGGGCAGGACATGTTCCATTGGAGCAAAGCTCAGGGAAATAAGGTTCAGTTTGGATGCCAGGAAGTACTTCCTGACAGTTAGGACCCCAAGGACATGGAATGGGCTTCCATGGAAAATGGTTGAAGCCCCATTGATGAGGATAGGCTGGAGATGCACACGGAAGGCATGCCATAAACAGAGCCAGCTGGAGTTGGGGGTCTGACTAGATGGCCTGGGAGGTCTCTTCTGACTCGCTCTATTTCCATGTTACTCTTCCCTTTGACAGCTGAAACAGACAAGGAAATTGTTCCAGCAAGTCTTAGACACTTCAGTCAGCTGAAAGACTACATTTGCAAAAGACTGCATTTACTACTACTACTACTACTACTACTACTACTACTATTTCATAGCTACTGGTGCTGCTACTTATTCAATTGCTCATTTTTGAAATAAACCAGAAATAAAAAGGGCAGATCCTCCTAAAATAGTATTTTGACATTGGTGGAAGGACAGTTTCTACAAAGACTGTAAAGAGTCAGTGTCATGGCAGTTTTGCAACTCTTGCTAAGATCTCTGTAGTCAGTCATAGGAACCCAACATAAAATTAGCTTCCTGGGTTTGGTTGACATGAAAAACTATGAGTAACTCCAACAACCCATGGGTTCTCAGCTTTCTGAACATATAAGAAAGCCCATGGCAAATGCTCCAGGTTCAAATGACATGACTGGCCACCCATGGTGGAATGTTGTGTTGTGCAAACCCAGTCATTCTTGTACAGATCCTTGATCAAGGAATTCCATCACAACATTCAGAGTAGTGTGAACACTGAAGAACAATTGTGTTCCAATCACGTATTAGTCTGGGAAGCATGGATAAGGCCAGTTCATATTAAAATGCAAATCAATTGACTTTGTATCTCACCCCTAGTCATAAAAGCATTTGAAGTAATGCTTTTCCTGCAAGTCCCAAGACAACTAGATGTGCAAGGAAGAGGACAACAGCCACACTCTCCACACATGTCTGTCTTTATTGTGGTAGAATGTCTGTCTCCTTTCCCACCTGAACCAAGGTCTTCTGACACTGACAGCTTGGTCATACTGCCAGTGTCAGTATTTTGAAGCAAACTTCTGGAAAAAAATATTGAACATGTAAGAGTGTGAAATCAGAAAGAGACTATGGGTAAGCCTAGCCTAGGCTAATAAGAATCATCTTTATAGCTTTACACTTAAATTATGTATTTTCTAAGCAAAGTTTTTAAAACAAATTACTTTCTGCCTAGGAATGAGCCTGCCTTAGAGGAAAAAACAGAGCTGTTTTCATAGCAGTTGTTGTTCGCTTCACTTTGGTAATTTTGGTGTTCTTCCTTTTCAGCCTGTGATCAGCTTTCTCTGGGAGTAGCTGCCATCTTTGGGCCTTCACATAGCTCTTCAGCTAATGCTGTGCAATCTATCTGCAATGCGCTGGGGGTTCCACATATACAGACACGCTGGAAGCATCAGGTTTCAGACAACAAAGACTCATTTTATGTCAGTCTTTATCCAGATTTCTCTTCACTCAGCCGTGCCATCCTTGACCTTGTGCAGTTCTTCAAGTGGAAAACTGTCACAGTTGTTTATGATGACAGCACAGGTGAGCATGACTGTAGTACTTTTATGTAGTAGTACTTGTGAGTAGACTTCATATATATAATCCTCTAACCAAACAATGCATTGAATGTTGGCATAAGCAGACATTTAGCTTAGTATGACAGTGACATGTTGCAATATGTAAGAAAACACATATATTTATGCCATATCCAACATGTTCATTATCATACAGTGTTTCTGTATATTTAATTTATATTGGGGTGCAGAGAATGGAAGAGGACAATTTCAAAGCAGGGCATTAAAAGCTAAGGGTTTATTCAAGTATTTACCTAGGCATCCTGACTCAAGAAAAACATCTGAAAATTTCATGAGCGCTATCTTGTTTTGCAGTTTCAGCTAGAAAACAAATCAGGCAGAGTTCCCTTCCCTTCCCCTTCCCTTCCCTTCCCTTCCCTTCCCTTCCCTTCCCTTCCCTTCCCTTCCTCTTTTTGGTCCTGGTGATATTCACTGAACCCTATAATTTACATTTTGTAAGAAGATTAGCAATTTTAAGCCTGCAGTTTGTTTTCACAGAAGGTTGTAAGCAAAGCAGTCTTGAAACTCATGGAATGGTGTCCCCATTCTTGCGTATGCAGGCTCATTCAGTGCTCACAAGTAGCTCCAGTGTGAGCAAGCGGCCTTTCCATGTACATCATTGTAGGGAACAGAACTTTCTTCTGAGTGCAGATGTGAAGCAGAACTGTCTCTTTTGTCAAAGAGCTGTGCTTGCAAATAGAGCTTTGAATGCCACCAAATTTAAAGGACTCACTAAGTTGTGTATCCAATTGTGTCACTTTTCTGCATGCCTTTTGCCAAATGATGTGTCTGCTTCATCAGAGCGGTACCCAGAGAAGAATGAAGAAGGGTGATGGCCCACTGATACAATACATACCTTATTCCAAACAGTTCCAGGTTCCATATCTGCATTGTCAGGTAGACAGCCAATCACTACAGATGTTAGACTAGACTTCGTCAAAGTGATATCCTCCAGCTCTCATCATCCAAGCCCAGCCAACAAAGCCAACGGTCTGGAAAGCTGGAAGCTGCCATCCAAAACAACTGGAGGGTTGCATTGGACAGCTGCATTGGAAAATATGATAAAGATGGAAAAGGAAGGCATCATTTTTGTTCCACAGGATTTCTTGGTTCCTCCTAGGGCAGTCCTCATTTTTAGGAGTCTTATTCTAGGAGAAAAATAACTTTGCATTAATATAAGATTAAGATAGCATTGAAATTAAATTTTTGTGCTACATATATTCACTGAAAATGATGTTACAGAGGCACAGAAACAGTTACATGAAAAATTAAGTAAAAATAGAAGATTAAATATATATAAAATGACAAATAATTAAGAACTACCAAACTTAAATTAATGATTAAAATTCCCTGAATTTTCCTTTATATAAGAGTGCCTCTTAACCAAACCAAAGGGCTCATATTTTTTTTAAATTAAACCAGCAATGTTTTCTAGTGCAACCTTTTCCATATGCCAAAATAAATCTAAGGCAGACTTGAGCTAATGCGGTACTCTCCTTCTACCTGATAAGCAACCATTTGCTTACTACCATCTGTCCAGCCCTTCTTCCTTCTAATGTCTACCAGCTTGTGCTCATGGAACACTATCCTAGGAGACTATCCCAACTTTTACTATCTGGAAAAGTTGCATGGTGTTATGCAAAGTGGTCCAAAATGTACACAATCACTCTACCTTAAGTGAAAACATCCGCACTCAAGGAAACATTGTTCTTGGGATTGAATTCATACTCAGTATTGGTTTGCTTGCATTTTTTTTTTAAATGCATGACTTGGCCCTGGGACGGTAGGCTGCTGCTGCTACCCAAGGCATCTCAGATCCTATGTGCACACATGCTTAAATAATGATATTAGAAGGTACTAGGGAACCCTGCTGAGAGAGCACACCCCTTGAATAACCCAAGTATTTGTGGGGTACTTCCAAGATATTGATCTAGCTTCAGTGCACCTATGGAAGGTCAAGGGCTGACCCAAAGGTCCATTCTCCTTCTGCTGTGTAGGACAGGCATTTATACATCACCAGGATGATGAAGAAAACGGATACCAATTAGCGTAACATTTGCCAATTACAATAAAACCTCTGTTTCTACTATTTCTGTTACCATGGTTTCACTTAACGGTGGTTGACCACGCTCTGAAAAAATTAAATAGAAAATTCCAGCAATGCAATAAATTCTAATTTAAATTGTGTGGCATTCTGAGTAATGTGATACAATCTTGTGTGGTCCTGCCAGAGAGGTTAATCATCCCTTTGTCCAGTGTATCCACACTGTATAAGCTACCAGGCTGTTAGTTACATAGTAGCCGTCTCTGTTGAGGGTGACTGCACTCCAATAAATGTTTTAGAGAGAGAGAGAGAGAGAGACCATATTCACATAACTTTGATTATTGTTGTTGTTCTATTTTATTATTCATTATTGTTGTTAAAGTCTTATCATGCTTAATTTATAAACTCTATCATAGGTATGTACAGTATATAGTGTTTGCTACTATCTGCAGTTTCAGGCATCCCTTGGGGGCTTGGAATGTATCCCCCATTGATACAGAGTCCTGGTGTAATATTTGCATAGGTGCAACTTTAGAAGCATTATTATTAATATTATTATTTAAGTAGAAATGTAATACAGCTCTCCCTGCTCTCCCTCCGTATGGTGCTTTGGCTTTAAATCAGACTCAGACTGACAACTCTTCAAAAAGTGGAAAGTTTTAAATAGATGGTGGCCTTGGCCACTTCTCCAAAATAGGCTGTCCTCTTTAAAGTAGGAAACCTGGCCACTTTGTGTTTGTGGCACATTGACATCTAGATAAACTTTCCTACTGATCTGGATAAGGCATGGCGTCACCACTGCCATGGGACAGTGCATGAAAGTTGTGGCCTATTTGAGCACTGATGCACCTAATAGTGCTGATGCTCCTAGTTTATACAGAGCACCTTGCGCATAGGTGTGTATGTTTGATAGGTCCACAAGTCTGCGGAGAGAGATGTTTAACAGCTGCTGGCTTTATACTTCACATTCATGGAATTCCTAGGCAGTTAGCCTGATTGTTCAAATTTCAACCAAAAAAAGTTGCAGGGAAGGTAACTGTTCCATAATATCTTTATGGCAAGGTTTCCACTTTGTTTTGAGTGTCATTTTGAGCTGTTTTGAGTGCCATTTTTCTTTGTAGAAAGTCAGAGTATAAATCAAATAAAGAACTGAAGACCACGTACAGGTTGTATATTACAACAGGGGGTATATTATGAATGCTTTATAGGAAACAATTTGCAATAAGCAATTTATGGTTGCAAGCATGGCACAGACCTGGGCAGTTATAAAGTGTGGTGCACTTCAAGGATGCAATATTAACAATTAATGATGGTTTTTTTTTAACTGTTTTATGACCAACTTATTTCAAGCACAGCAGGAGGATCTGTTTAAGGAGTGATGAACTATTGGTATACCACAGGGATTATATCTGTTGTACTTTACAACTATTTCATTTTTAATGAGCAAACTGAAAACATGTGGTACATCTGCATTTGAAAAATAAAAGCTTAATACAATATGGAACTGAGTTTCCCTGTGCTGTTCTGCAGAATGCGTGAACAGATATGCCAGTGCTGGCAGGGAAAACATGGAACTCTTTTCAGTAGTTCTGTGGGGAGCAGGGAGCGTATGCATGTGCCAAAGGCAGATGTTTGAAGCAACACTGTGAAGACTTATCTGCCCAGTAATTCTGCCCACGACGAAGGACTTTAGCAATAGTTCTGTAACACATTGTTGGGGAAGATCAAATGGGTGCTTATTTGTGAATCATCATAGATTACACTGAAAAAAATCTGGTGGGCAGAAAGTATGAATAAGGAAAGCTCATGACTCAAATATATTCTGCAAAAATATCTTAAAGCAAGGAGGTGATACCATCCTTGAATTAGGTTTCCTGGAAAGAGAATTGGATTGTACAAAATCCTAGGAACTTTGAGCCCAAACCCAAATGATCTAATATCACCTGTAGATCTCAAGATGAAACTACAAGCAGACAGACTGAGTATTTCAGAAGATTTTGTGACTGCTCATATCTTGACACTGCCTGAAGGTACACCAGATACTTGCAATCTATTGCTGCAAAAGTAGTTATCAACCAATATTTTGAATTCATTTCTGAAATGAATCAGCCTGAAGCAGCAGAGAAGAGATGGGGAGGCTTCACATTTAAAAAGTGGCCATAATATAAAAGTGATGGCTAGAAACACTGTTGTGATTTTATTGTACAAAATATTAGCCTGAGAATCGCATCACTTTTTGTAGCTTGGAATCTATTTTCAAAAGCGAACATTTGTAATGTTTTTTTTTTTTTTTTTAGCCGAGAATGCACTGAGGTTTTATTGAGGTTTTATGGTACTGGGGGGTTTATTGTATTGGGGGTTTTAATGTATGGTTGACTTTTTCGATGTTGTGAGCCGCCCCGAGGCTTATTGCGATGGGGCGGCATAGAACTGTTTTAAATAAATAAATAAACAATGCCATTTATTAACAGGATGTAGACCTACAATTTGCCTGTGCCAGCAAAAATACAAATAGATGGCAAATGACACATATATGGCTGGCAATAGCCCTCAGTTAGATACTTTTGCAATATTCATTAATAATAAATATATAACTTTCCCAGAACTAGTTTATATTTGATTTACTGGGGTTTAATTCTCCAGCATAAGCTGGAATAGGAGGGTGGGGATCTAATCAGATCCTTGGTGTTTTCTGGATGTTTAGAAGTCAGTACACTTTTCCCATATACATTCCTTTCAGTACCTTCTTTTTTCTTCCAAAATTAGATTAGATCACATGAACACATTCTGTATGTAACAAACCAGTGTCATATAAATCCATTTTTGATAATAAGAAGATGATGCCTGATGATGATAGAATGGCCATAATGGTAGAGAAATGAACGTGCAGAAGGCAAACATCCATGATGTGATAACTCTACTAG